TAACATAAATAACATCCACGTAACAATGATTCAACGATATCTTTTATATAATAATTTCACAGATGCATGGACGAACGAACGAACGAATCTTGCTGTTCGAAGAACGAGCACGTGTATCTCAAGCTCGATAACGTTAATTAATTAATTAAAGTAAAGAACCTACGTTGCTTTATAATACTTGATAGCCGTCCTCGTGTTCGGCCCAATTGGCAATTGACACACGAAGACGACACCGTTGTTGTGTCGCGATGCGAACTAAGGAAAAAACGCGACTACTTGTAATATTCTACGATAGTAATATGTAATACAATAATAATATAGAATACAATAGGGAACAAAATAACCGAATACGTACGTATGCATGGAACGTTCAAAGCGGATTCGGCTCGGTTTTCACGAGGCACGAACATCCACCGATAATACTATCTTTTTTTTTCTTCTTCTTCTTGCAAGAATATCACTATCAATAAATAATACGAGAGACAAGGGGTCGACTGATCGAATACTCGTATCGTACACGGAGAACAATACGAGTGAATCCGCGTTTTGAACGTGGTAATCCGGATACGCGTAGTATGGGCGACTTTATACACAGAGTGAACGAACGATCGAATGTGAACGATGATGACTTGGCGAGATTTTCGACGTTTTTTCGAAAAGGAAAAGAGAAGAAAGGGAAAAAAAAAGAAAGAAAGAAGGAAGGAAACAAGAGATACAAATTATAATACTTATTTACACTCGGCTTGATATGGATATCTTGAGGGGGAGGAGTGAAGAATCGCGAATGAGCAAATTTGAACGAAGTAAAGAATATATCGCGATATTTCCCTGCGAACACATTTTGAAGAGCATACGTCGAAGATCGGCAAACTTTAGGAAGCTCGATGATACGTGAAGTCGTATCGTGTCACCGCGGACCCTCTTGTTTTTTACGCGAACGATGTCTTCAGTTTGTTGACAGCGTTCGTGAGGTGCGTCATTTCGGTGTTCACTTGAGCCATTAGGTTGTCCAACCTGTCCACGCTGTCCAGTATCTCGACGCGTTGCGTGTACGGATCGTACCTAACCTCAAAAGGCCGGCTCATGGTAGACACCTGGAACACAGTTGACGGAAGTTAATAACGAAAAATTCATGTTGAACTGATATCCCAATAACTTGTTCTCACATTCACAGTCTGTTATTCTTATTTTTCTCCTTCTCTTACAGCATCTCAATTTTCATTACTTCATTATTTTCTTTCTCTCTATTGTCAATTTCTTAATGAATAGAAATCATTTCGTTATTTAATAACGAAAAATCAAACTCATCTCCACTTGAACTAATTTCATTACAGTTCCACGCTCACAAAACTCAGAAACTTTGAAAATAATATTTCGATCGTCACGAATGTCAAACTCGGACTAACGCCGAAAATAGTTCGATCCGAGATCGCGGTCTTATTTCACATAAAAATCTAACTATTTAATAGTATATTATTCTACACCTTATAAGATTATACTTAAAGAGCTTAGGAATCTACTCATGAAGCGATATTTTAAAAAAAAATCAAACATATATAAATATTGTCGTTCGAATTGCTGCATCAATGCCGGAGAGTCATCGCACTACACTGAATAGTGATTGGAGCGCAAAGAGTTAAAACATAATCGTTTCAATTTAACTTAATTTATTCTCTCGACTATTATACTTATTTAAAGAATAAAACATCTTAATATTCGACGGAAAGAAAAATCATTCTAATTTCTACGTAAAATATATTGATCCATATTAAGCGTAGAGTGCAAATTATACAAATTAATCTTTTATGACCATTAAAGAAACGGCAAAAATCCATGGTCTATAGATATGGCGGTGATGCCAGGCATCGAAGTCTCCAAGCTCGATCGATCGACACTTACCCAACGGCGGAATTCTCTTTGGCATCCTCGAAGCTCTCCGCCACGAAGTAGATCGGTTGGTAATCTTGATCCTGGTACTTTTGAACGGCGGTGGACTTTGGCTCGAACGGTCGATGCTCGCATTTGCCGCTCGTGAGCGCGTGAAGGAGCTCGCCGTAGGCGGACAAAAGGCCGGCGCCGTAGGCTTTCACATCCGGCCCTTCCTTGCAGAGGCCGAACTCGATGGTGAACCAATAAATCGTGGACAATTTCTCGATTTCCTCGTCGGAGGCGCCGAGCGAAGCGAGGCCGATCTCCTGGGAGAATTGGGCGAAGCTTGGATCGGCCAACAGCGGCATGTGCCCCAAGAGCTCGTGGATGCAATCTCTGCGAAGAAGAGAAGTTAGATTGATAAGATTGAACGTGATAATATTACTTTTATTTTATATATATATATATATTCGTATAATTAATTGAACTGAGAGAACAAAGTGTAGGAAGACCGAAATCAGAAATAGCGAAGCTTTCATCTTTAATTACGAAGCGTAATTTCATTATCTAATATTTCACGTTGAGATAGAGTCGATATATATCTATAATACAAATTGTACAATAAGAATTCTTGATTATAATTTGAAAATGTTCGATCTGGGTGAAGAGGAAAATCGATGTGATAATTTTGAGACGTTTCTTTCGCGAGATACACTTTCGTCAAAATCGAAAATTTTGACGAGGGTTATTTCGATGGAGAAAATAGTGTCCGTAACTGTGAAACCGAATTATCAACGCCATCGTGTCGTTAAAAGCCAATTAGAGCTCCATTACGAGCTTAGAGAGGCACGGTAATTCTATTATTATCGTTCTCTGTGTAACGGGAGGTCGCTCTCATCATAACGCAGTATCGATTGCTCCCGTATTATACCTTCGTGCGAGAAGATCTCAAAGAAGAATTATATGAAAACGAGAGAAAAGAAAAAAAAAGAAAGAAAGAACTTTAAGGAAATAGAAAATTAGAAAAAATTAAAGAATCGACTAACCACGAGTCCATCTTTATGAATTAATAATTGACAATATGATAATTATAATTAAATCAAACGAGTAACCAAATTTAATTCCAATAAAATTCTAACAATTCGTTATATAACGCACGATTATATTTAAAAACATTCTCCAAAAGGAATTTAACCAAGGAAAAGAAGAAACAAACTCACGGCTCAGGAGTGTGATACGGGCTCTTGATGTGACGGATGTATTGAGTGCTCTGGAACACCCTGAACGCGAGGCTCGACAAGAAATCCCTGGACGTGAGCAATCCGGCCGCAGGTCTCAAGGTGAATCCCGTGTTCTTCTTCAAGAACTCGCTCACCTCCTGCAGCTGGGGTATACGGTGAGGCTCGAAGATCTTCTCCTCCTGCATCTTCTTGAAATTTCTCCTATATTCGGCGCAAGCGTGTTTCGGGACCAGGTCGACCAGGGTGTTGAACACCCGGGTCCAAGTCTCGGTCTCCGTCTCTGTATAAGGGACGGTTGGTATCGCGTCACCGTACTTGTACGCGAACGCAATTTCAGCAATGAACTTTCTGCGGGCACGGTACTCCTTGTCAGCGAAACCGGGATGGTTCATGTCGAGGTCAGGCTCGAATTTGGTCATCAGATGGTTGCAATTGTCGAGGTCGGACGCGTGCCTCGGGAACCAGGGGTCCTTGATGCTGACGGAGTTGTCCGCGAGCAGGGTGACGCCGTCCAAAGCGGAGCTCTGGCGGAGGTTCCTGATCAGTTGCAGCAAGTACTGCCTCGTCATGTCGATCTTGACGAGCACGTCGAACTGGAGGCCCTCTTTCTTGGACGGCCGAGACTCGACGTGGGTCACCGTCCCTTTGAAGTTCTCGATCGTCTTCAAGATCCTCGCCAACGAACCGATCCCCTCCCTCAGACGCAGCACGAGCGCCGCTTTCTGCACCGTGTGCTCGCTCTCCGGGCATTCAGCTATGGTCTTCGCCAACACCACTTCCTCCTCGGTCAGTCCAGCGTCTGAATGGAAACCATGAAGAGATCGTTAGATCGATCGTCTTTATCGCGTGAATTAATTATATTTTGAAAAATCGAGGATGAGTTTCGAATCTTCGAGATTCGTTGAGAAAAATTCTAACACAGTTTAAACGAAGAGTGAAAATATTAAATTTATTTTGCAAATCGTTTGCAATTCTCTTAAGAGAGTTCGTACGAAAATGATTTGACCCACCGTTTAAATTATCAAATTTGACGCCACTTTCCTTTCGAATTTCAACGCGATGTCCCGAACGGCTAAGTGATTTTCCATGGCCGGTAATAATCGAGCAATTCAAAGTCCATTTCCGCGGTGTGCCCACTTTTATATGGGGCGTCGTTGCACTCGGAGGGAGGAAGTAGGGACAAGAAGTAAAGTACCTCTTATTGTCGGACGTGCCCCGTGGCAAAGATCGAGACGGCAGAGAAAGAAATACATTTATCGCGCGGAGGCGTTTTCAGAAAGGGCTAATACGATTCTAAATGCACAAAGCGGATTCGAAAAAGTGACGAGGGAGAAAAGGTTCTCTGTTCCACCCTCTTTGGTCAAGTTCTGTGCCATCCTGGGATAGAAAGTGCTTCGTTTAATTTGTGCATTTATTTTTTTGTTTCTCGTACTTTCGAAAATTTTCTCGATCTTTTCGATTTCTGTTAAAATCGAAAGTACAGAAGTTGATTTCACATTCGAATTTTAATATTGAACGAGTGTTGACAAGCAAAATTAAATATCGAATATTTTTGTATCTTTATTTTTAACTGATTTGACTTATACTGTTTTTCATATTAGTTTCGATTAGTTTTTTTGAAAATCTCACCCATCTCATTGAAATTTCTATGATCATTATTAATCATATTATTAATATAATTATTTTTATCACGGTTCGAATTTACTGAGTGATATAAAATTTATTAGAATTTACAATTTTGTTTTGGAAAAAAAGGTAATTGGAAGAATAGAATAATTAAAGATTATTACATATAAATATACTTACCATTGTTGTAATCTTCATCTGGTTTGACTACGTCACTGTCTTCCGTTTTAATCTCTGCAAGTCAAACACAATTGCGTGCTCATGCCAAATGCAATATCTAACATGCTTGTATAACCATCGAAAGATTTTAGATAAATACAAACCTCCATTCTTGGCGATGCAAGCCAATGTTTCCAACTGTTCATCATCGCTCGACGAAGCATAACGTTCCGTGTCATGTGGACAGATAGTTTCTTCGCCTATCGAGGTTAATAGCAAATGAATTTATCATGCAACATCGATATTATTGTTGCATAACACATATTTTCATTCACTCATTAAACAAGTCCTCGTATAGTCCTCAAGAAGAGGCCACTACATATACAATTCTCTAATTTTGCGAAAATCAATTAGTTATAAAAAAGTTTCAGAAATATCGAAGAACATTTGAATAATAAAATATAATTCGATAATTTATAAAATAATTTACAATCATCATCACGATTATGAAACGTACGAAGATTTTCGCAAATAATTGCAAATCAATAAGATTTGTTATCACTATCATGATTATATTAATCATATTGATAAAAATAATACACATGCAATAATACGAGCAATACAATAAATCGTACGAACATTCAAAAGATTCAAAGGGATACACCTATTTAATTCAGATAAAAATTTCTCATATCCTACATGCAATGTAAAACAGCAACTTACCATTCGCCCGTTGACGTGCTTCTTCCAAAACGCTCTGCTTCGTTTGCTTGACGACCAAAGTTTCGAAACGAGCATCGTCCACGAGAGATCGTCGTCTCGCCGGATATCCATTCTGAAATAAAACAAAACAAAAAATTGTTATTCAATCAATATTTAATCAAGCATACAAATTAAACGATATAAGGATATTCTTATTGTTCAGCGAACTTCTTCTTAACGAGGAATCAAAGTTTATCTAATTCTCAAAGGTTGGACAAGTTGGGATAAAGAAGCGGAAATTAAGGTTGAAGGCAGGTATCCGGCTGTCGTTGAAGGATCGGAAATTAAGGGATCCCGGCACGGTGGATATAAAGCACAAAGAAGAACTTGCATCGATGACTTTCTGTGTGATCTGATCCTTGCATTGTCGTGGATGTAAAGAAGATAAAGAAGAAATATTCGTTAATTATTAAAAATGAAGAAAGGTGGGAAATCGATTTAATAACAGGAAAAAATTCATTATTTCTATCTTAAGCTCTATACTATTTTATAAAATATTTATCCTTAAAAATAAATAGAAGAAGATAATTACGATGATGAAACGAAAAGTTGAAAAAATATTTTACAAAAATTGTGCTCGAGAATCAAACTCGAAAGAGTATCACACGGTGTATAACCATAACACGGTTATATAGAATATATCGACAATTAGAGGCTCGTTAGAAATTCTTGGACGCGCGAGAGGCCGATGCAAGAGTGGAGAGGCATCATTCAAATTCAGAACGACCGCTTTTCATGAATGGCGCACGCAAGGTGGCCACCCAGTTCCATTTTTCAAAGCGGTTGGCACGGTTTAGAGAAAACGTGTAGTAATCCCTTAACAACGCATCGCGCGAACTGGGCCAAGTACTTCGACGATGGATAAATGACCGATGACTCTATAGATTCTGGTGCGTCACTAGATGCATTTGATCTAAAATATATTGTCACCTGTGTTCAAGAGAGAAAGAAAAAAAGAAAGAAAGAAAAAAAGTAGCCGGTCTCCCGATTCAATTAGAATCCTTTGAAGTTGAAGTTTCTTATCCAGTGCCACCTGGTTAATTAACTCGATCGTGAGTCATGTACACGCGCGTAGCTAGCAGGCTCGATTTATAATGGATTGCTCTTTGTTTCACGCGATAAGAATAGCGTTTTGTGTGGCACGAGTTCGTGTAAAGAAAAGTGAAAAGTGAATCGTAATTGAGCTGGATGGTGATAAATTTACATTTGTGCACCACGTGTTGAGAGTATTCTGATTTTAATTCGACTGATTTTAATAATTTATGCTCTTTGTTTCGTGTATTTGGGGGTATATTTTTTTATCGAAAGATTTGACAATGGAAATAGTAATGGTGGAAAAATCATTCAAGTATCAATTATACAAATTTCTTTTCTACAAATCGAATGAATTTCCTAATTTTAATCACGGGTTTCGTTACACGTGAAGCGAAATGAACGTTTCAATTTCGCGGTTGATTGATATATTTGCATGGAATTGGATATTTTTTTATCGATCAAGCTGGATAATGATGCGTGACAAACGTATTCAAGGTCGATCATTATTTCGCCATTAAAATCATAGTCGTACAGCGCTATTAGTTTAGTGACGTAACACCTGGTATGCATCACTGAAATGCAACTACCGGTTAAACAACGAAACGAGTTTCCCTCGACAAATTTCAAATTACACATTCGATAAAATCCTGGTAATCTCTTCACAATTAGAAGAAGAGAATTAGGATAAGTTATAATTTTGGAAAGAGATTGTTCTTTCTATTTAGTGATAATTATTCTCAAACAAAAATTTAATGATACGTAATTTGTGCAACTGTACAATTAATCTCAAAATAACGATCGTACAATTTTGCCAGTGTTTAATTACTCGAGGTTTAGAAAGAAAATTTTCAAAGCAATTTTCTTGTTTTTAAAATTAAAACAATTTTCCCAGAATAAATCTAATAATTTCATTTAAAATAATATATCGATCGAAATTAAAATCTAAATGAAGATAGAGATAAAAAATATAATCTTCCTAAATTTAAATTTCTATAAAACACGAGTATTCCAATTCTTCAAAAATTTCTTCACCTTTACTTCATACTTAATCCATAACAATTAACAATTAACAATTGCGTAAACTATTCCATTCATAAGCATCCGTCGTTAAGAATAAACGTTTTCGAAATCGAAAATGGAGAAGAGGAAGAAGAAGAAGAAGAAGAAGAAGAAGAAAAAATACTGGAAAAATGATAGCAACCGCGAATCATTACGTGATCAATATGCATAATGCATCTGGTTCATTAATACGATTTTTCTTTTCAGATTCAGAGATGTTTTAAATAAGCAAAAAGGCCATTTAAATAGAACAATTAGCATAGTGGATAGACGAGCCAAACCCGATTATTGCCGCATACGTATGCAAATTCGGAACGCGTCGCGATTGACCGTGTCGGTGTCGTCGATTAGAGGCGTTGTCAACCGCGTGGCGAGCCTCCAAAGGCGAATAACGGAGATTAGAGCAGCGTTCAGGGACTCAACCATTGGACTTACAATCACTTCACGTTCTCATATTTATAAGATATTCATATAATTATCATGCGGGATCCGAGGTCGGCCGATTTTGCAACGCGATACAATTATGCGATCCTTGCCGCGTGGCAAAGGCCAGCCTCTCGTTCGAGGGTGTTAATCGCCGTTAATTACGATATTTTTCTAATTAATCGTAGCTGATAAACGTGGCTCGATCAATTGGATCGATCGAAAAGATTCGAGAGATCGAAACAGAATTTATTTATTTATTTATTCATTTTTGAAGAACTTCTTAACATTAGAATGATGTGGATTCATTTTCATCCATGAATTTTATCTCGAAGGATAATTTGTACAAAAGATATTCGATATCTTTGGAAAAGAAATATAAGATATATTGGTATACAAAAACGTCGATTGAATTTATCCCGCTCTAGCCAACGTAAATTGCTTATTAACTCGATAAACTTCTATCGCGTTTTAAATATGTTCCACGCGAGTTAATATCAACATCCAGTACATTTCCGCAATAAAAGGATAATTTTATAGGCAAGAGATAATATTTCAATCGCTTTAAAATAATATTCGAGCTTGTTAATCAATCCTTGTGCAAATTGGAAGAGTGCATAAACGATCGTTGAAATACTCGGCGGAGCGAATCTGTTACAATACGAATTTCATTGATTTCGTTGAAAAAGCGACGTTAACGATATTCAAATAGGATGGATTTCCACTCTATTGGAAATTAATTAATCTAAACACACATGGGCGCGACTGGGTAAACCGTAGGAATTTTTCTAAACAATATTATAAGACGGATCGTGTTTGCACAAGATAAATAGATAAACGAACGAGGAGTGGGATAGGTAACGATGACAATTGGCGACACTGTCGATGAAATAAATTGATTACGAATGCGTAATGAGAAACGCGAGAAAGGTCGAATGATTTTTCACCCCCTCGTTGGAATGGCGCGAACACGATCGATAGAGATCGAACTACGTGCGAGCGCGTAGCGGATTCTGGATCCGATCTCTATCTAGATCCGGCGTGTGCACGAGTTCCGTTCGAGTGAGTCAGACTTATCAACGTCGTTTCTTTCCCACTCTCGTTAACACAACGCATACGTATGTACGCTCACTTAAGCGATATTTCATTGTGCATTAACAGGCGCAAGTGAATTTTAAATTTTTTGCAAAAGACAAGTTTTCTCGAATTTCAACGATTATTCGACGAAGGATATATTTAATTAATGTTTATTGATCGATGATTAGAAGAGAAGCGTGATTAGCATTGATTATTAATTTAATGGTATTAATGTATATTCATGTAGATTTACATACGTTATTACGGTTTGTTTTTAACGTGATTTGTATTTCTAACATTTTATCTGAAAATCTACGTTTCTATTTATTGCGCACGTGAGAATAATCTCCCGTAACAGCGCGTTATATAAAAGAAGAATTATTTTTATTAATGAATATATTGGCCGAGAATATTTAAATTTCGTTGTTTTTCATACGAATTTAGAAATTTAATATTTCTTAAGAAATATATCAATATTTTAATATTATTATTATTCTCAAAAGTGACATTTTTTTTCTTAATTTTTCGTTTTTCTTTCTTTCTTTCTTTTTTTTTTTTTTGGAAAAATTTCAAGCTTTTTAAGCTTTTAACTTCTTTAAAAAGCTTCACTCGTCTTTCTTTTGTCTGCACATTTCAGTTGTAACATGTATATAATGGACATATACGCATACATATATAAATAGTAATCGTTCGTTGTACGTTATAATTACTTGATTCACAATTGTGATTACTATAATTATCTCCACTTATAATAATCATCGAAATGTGATTTTATTTACTTAACTCGGACACGTGATATCATGATTTCCAAAATTTCATCAGATACGCCTGCTCATCACTGTTTGCCTGTACGATACAGGTTTAATTTACGGAGAAAGTAAAGGATTAATGGCCACGGGTCAAGTGTGAATCAATTTGCTTCTCGGCCGGTGAAATGAGAAACTCACGTCCTCCACTGAAGATCGATCTTTTTTTTATTTTCCTTATTATAAAAGTTGGACGATCATTGAATTGCATATCTAATGTCGATTGGAAGAAAAAAAAAAAATGTTCTTTTAAAAACATGTTATTCGAAGAAATAGAATTTCAAAGATTCGTAATATTTCCTCAAATTTATAGCGTCTCTTTCATTTTCCAAGATTTCTAACGTTCCTCGCATTAATAAAATTCATAACAATTTATAAAATATCGACATGAGCGAGGAAATAAAAAATTCCTATATTAATGAATGCACATCTCGCGTGTTACACTTTTATTATCTTATTACTATTACGCGTATTTTATGAATATTTTAAACATCGTATCACAAAATCAGCGATTATATATTTTCGCAATGATCAATTTCGATTCGAATTCTCTTTTATAGCACACGAAACGGCAATTTAATTTTATTACACTTAAAAAAAAGAAATCACGAACTAAAAGAAAATATATATACACACATATATAAATAATGAAAGAAACGATTGCATAAGTAGAACGCAACGACAGTGCGTGCGACTAATAAATCTGAATCTACGACGATGAGGCCGGGTATGAATGAAAAAAAAAAAAAAAGAAACTAGCCAGACCTTGCACCGGGATGCCAATTAATCTTCAGTCGCCGCACGATTTGAAAAAAAAAGAAGGAAAAAGAAAAAATGCACGCGAGAAAACGCGGATAGGAGTCCTTGCGTTTCTAATTCTCCGAGGGCCCGTACCTCCCTCGTTTATGAATGGAAAAAAAGAATCACGGCCTCGAGAGAGGAGGCTTCGATCGAAAGTCGTTATTGCGCGATCGTTCGACGATTTGAAAGCGATTTGGCGCGCGCGCGCGCGATTTTCCAAGCGGGATCGAGGGGGATCACGGACTCGATAACGAAACGATAAGCCGTAATTGACATTATTAAACGTTTTTTGATTTCTTTATTGTCGTGAAACACACACATAATCAATGTGTTGAGAATGATCAAACGCGGACCTTGGACGCGCGTTCGTGTTCCTTTTTCCGCAAAATCGTGTATAAATACCCGTTCCTCCAGCGATCGATAGAAAAGTGAAAGATCGAAGCACGGCTGTGCGTAACTCTCGTCGATTTGTTATTTTACGCGTCGTTTTCACCTGTTTGCCTCTGTTTGGCTACGATCTCGGTTTCCATTCTGCGTCGCGTTTTCTCTCCTCTCGTTTTTTATTTTTCGAATTTGTTTTTTTTTTCTTTTTTTATAGTTTCATGAAATGAATGAAGCAATGGAGTAGTTTGTTTAGATGTTGTGTTTCTTTTTTTCTTTTTCTATGAAGTATATGTTTTCATTGAATCGAAAGCAATGGAAGAAAGATTGGTGAAAATTGAATTTCCACGCTCAAGTTTATCGGTTCGTTCGGATAATGTTTTACATTTGTTTTATCGATTTCGGTAATTTCCACGAATAAATATGAAGAATGGAGTTGAATTTTCATAGAAGGATATAGGAATATGCTTCAATTATGGATTTGATTATAAAAATCTCGTTTATAAAATTATATCATCTTTTTCGAAAAAAGAAAAAATTAAATTATTCATACGAAGCAGCAAAACGTTTTTTTTAATTTTTAAATCGATCGTATATATTGGAACGGAATTATCAATTTTGAAATATCAAAAATATAACAATCGAACTATTAAATCAACTCTAGTTGCTAGAGACTAACTATCAAACGATCAAATCGAATGATCGAAACGAACTCGATCGATACTGTTGCAATAAAGTATAAACGCAAGGTTACCAACATTACGTAACCATCGTAGTAATCGATCACGTGTACTTTCTCTATACTTTTGGGCATCTTCATCATTTCCAGTTTGAGAATTTCACTCGAGCGGCCTGTACGAAGGTGAAATACCGCGTTTGTGTACGTGTGTCCATGCACGCGCTTACACGAGGATCGGTTGTCATTTATTTTTTTTTTTTTTCTAGCCGTTACGAAATATACCGGACGTTTATCAAGAAAGTCACGTAGGAACAAAAAAAAAAAAAAAGAAAGAAAAAATAAGGAAGAAAAAAAAACGAAAGAGAACTCTTCCGTGTATGAAAGTATTTCCAAAGATATAGGTGTTCTCAAGTTTCTAAATAATATATCCCGCGTTAGAGGTTAACGAAACAAATCTCGTGAGATATTTATCACGATAGATTTTCAAGCTGAGAATCATCGTTCGAAAGTTTTGTATCGTGTCAATGATACTGGGAACAGAGAAAGTGAAACGAGATTAAACGGGGAGATGAATGAAGTATAGCGTGACGCGCGAGAATCGTGGCAGTTCAAACGTGCGGCAAAGTTCCCGCGCTTTTCTCGCGACACTCCGTTTGACACTCCCGTAACCCCAATAACTTTCTCCAAATAAATATCTACAAAATTCCCTCTCTTTCTAAATCCACTGCTCAATATCACCGGTTAACATCGAATTGATTAATTGTCAACAACTTTTTTTCCCCGAAATCAATCAACAAGTCGTATTACATGTATTCATCCGTCGAAATATTTTTCGAAAAGTAGGAAATATTCGTAACGCATTCTTCATTTCCCCAAACTCGTTCCTTATTCACTATTCGAACTACTCACCTCGATGCTGTAAGATTTCTTGATAGCGAACATCTCGCGGTTCTTCTGCGCCGCTGCTACAGCCATCATACTCGCCGTGCTGTTCTTCCTGACCGAAAAACTCTTCGAGCCCCCAAGGAAAAAAGAGATCGGCTGCTTTTTTTTCTTTTCGCCCGAGCTTTTCACTGCCGTCCGGCCGAGGGAACTCGATGGATCAAGAGGCAACAACGATCACCCGATTCTTCCTCTGCTCTTTCTCTCTTTCTCTTTTCGAGAGTTCGTCTTATTACGCTCTTATGCTCTCCCTTCGAGACCTCGATCCGGCTCGACGGCAACGACAACAACGACGACGATACGACGACAGAACGACGGATTCCTCTCGGTATAAGTCCGCTTTGGATGAAGCGTACGAGCGAATGCGCCTACGGGGCGGATTGCTGCCGCATATAAACGTTGCCTCCCTTCACCGCCGGCTAATGCCGGGGTCAGGGGTGCCCCCACCCCACCCCCGTTTCGGGTGGTCCATCGGCTGCAACCACCACCAGCTCCTCCGCCGCCGCCACCACCACCACCGCCACCGCCGTCGTCGTCCTCGCCTGTTCGAGCATCGTCGTTCTTCCACCGATCGCGCAGACCTCATTTACGAACACCACGAGGTATTTCCACGATTTCCTCTTGTCCTCTTCTCCTCGTCGAGCATTTTCTCGTGTCAATTTATCATTTTGTTTTATTATTTTTGTTTTCTTTTTTTTTTTTTTTTTTTTTGTTCTTTCGAGCGTGGAACCAAGATTTTCGAGTGTTCAACAAGTGAGATTGTAAATTTTTTTCTGAATACTTAAATTTTTCATAAATTCGCGATGATTTACGATTGTGAATTTTGGGATATTAAATTAAAAAAAAGGTCAGTGAGTGATAATAATGATTGATTTTTGAATCTTTTTATTTGTTTGATTTTCGAAGATTTTGGAAGAAAGTTTGAAAATCTCGATAGACTCTTAGATAGAAGTGAATGTTCCGATGTGATCGAAATCGTTTATTATCGATAGTGTATTCTTCGTGTCGTATTCTCTTGAAACGCCTCGTTTATTAATCGAATTACACATCGACGGAACAAAAATTCTCCTTCTTTGAACGATTTTCTCGATCGTTAGCGAGGATCGGCTGCAAATCGGATCTCAAGGCCGATCTCCCTCCCATCCGAAGTCGATCCGTCTCATCCCATCTCGTTATCGTTTCTTTATCGAGCAATTGTACCTCGAATTGTCTCGAAGCTAATATCATCGAAACGGGTTTGCCTCGTTAAATGGTTCGTTGATCTCTAAATAATAGGTTTCAGTTTCGCACGGAACCAATAATCTGGAAATAGCATCACTCATTAACAGGAAAAATCGTCCTTTTCCACGAACCGGTTTCTACAAATAGCCATCGTAATATATTCTACGATCTAAGTGTTTCTCGATTTTCCGCCTCTCGATCGACGTCACGATCGGCAACGTCATCGTCAACCATTTGGGAAACTCTTGTAATTTCTGCAACGATCTTTCAACGACTACTCGTCACACTCTCTCTTTCTCTCTCTTCACGAGATGTTCTACGAGATGGAGAGCGGATCGATCTCGTCTCGCCGGCGGAAAAAGGGGAATCCAGTTCCACTCCAGGATTCCCCTTCGAAGCTGAAGTCGATTAGTCACCGACTGATCCGAACGAAAGATCCATGCCTCGATCACGCTCGACGATTCGGATCGAAACCGTTCGTATCGTTGCATTGTTCGAACACCTGTTCCGCGTTCACGCGATTCTATGAATAATTCCATTCCTGAGGCGGAGATCGGATCGGAGAAGAACCGTTCTTTTTTTCCTTTCTTTTTTTTTTTCTTCAATCAATTATCGCGAATATCGATCGATTAAAATATCGCGAAAATTTTGGAAACAGATTCATCGTCCTTTTTAAACAACGTGCATGCCGGAAGTTTCGGGATCGGCCTTCGATTTTATCTAAGGATCCACATGTTCGATCGTTAAGGATGTAAAAATTGCATAGATCTCGATGATACCGCACACGTATGCACACGTGTGTAGAAACGATCGTACGTACTTGATTCGCATCGACGTTTGTTCTAAATGATCTTACTTTCATGCATCAAGGCCGATCTAAGAGCACGGAAACGGAGTGGCACTTGCTCTGCGTCAGGGTAACGTAAGACGTAATCCACGCAGGTTCCTGAATTACCCAGTCCCATAAACCGGTCTGCGATTCGTATTCGATATACAGATATTGCTGTGTTTCTTTCTTCAGTTTTTCTTCTTTTTTTTTTTCTTCTTCTTCTTCTTCTTTTCTGGCTCGAGCCAATTTCGAAGCGTCGAAGCGGGGAAAATTTAGGCGCGTAGATGTGATATATTTGAATGGATTTGTTAAATATAAGTATATCAAAATTTAGAGAGGTGGTCGAGGGAATGAGAAAGGCAAGAATTGAACGCGTTTTGCGAAATGCAAAGCGCACGTTTTGCATTATTAGACTAGACTCGTTGTACACTTACTTGAAAAAATATTGCAATGAATTACTCGAAATGCAAATCAATAATGTAATAGATACACGAAGTATGATAAAATTTCTTGAAACAAAACAAAGTATAAATTATTAGAGGGAAAGAGGTTTTCAATATCTGGGATAGTAAAAATTTTTTGTAGATAAAAATGTTTGAAACGTTACCTGCTGGAATGGTGCCATCTACATGATTATTAATGTAAGTTATTAATAGTAATATATATATAGTTATAATATTTAAAATGTCTTTTCGAACATAACACGATATGATCAAGGAGTTAACGAGTGTTTCATCTAATGATTTATTCGTTTGGAAATAAATTCTGATTTTCGACGTGTCGTGTCGTTACATGATTTACTGAATTCATTCGTAATTGAGAATATATATATAATATAATTTTGTTGTTTCAAAAATCTAAAATTCTTAACAATTCTTTAATTTTCTCCCGTTTGTCACATTGTGAATGAGAATTGTGAGCAAATATTTCTGAATGCATGAAAGTTCTTTCTTTTTTTGTAAAAGGTTAAACTGATGTTCAATGAAAAGGCTTCTTGTTAGAAAAGTGAAAGATAATTACTTCTTAATGAATTCGTCCTTCGAGAGGTTAAAAACGTTTATATAATATTTTCCATTGCATGAAATTGAAAGATGCCTAATTTACATTTCAACAATTTTATATTATAATGTTATTTTCAATTCGTGTAAAAAAATTGTACAACCTTGCTTCTTTCTAATTACACATGTATCATTATATTGAGAAACATAGAAATAATTATGATCATGAAGCTATAATGCAATAATATCTTTGGAATGATATATTACATAATAAAACACGAAATAAAAATTTTCTCACAAAGGAATGTCTAAATGTCAAACTGTGTGAGTTCACAATTCACTTCCGGCCAATACGTCAAACAATGTAAACATAAAGATGCTCGAAAAATGCAAGCGTGTTAGTTGAAAGTTTCTTTTTCTTCTTCTCGTGTTATTATTTCTTCTCAAAAAGATAAATAATGCAAAAATTTCCACGTGCCTGTTCATTATCATGGAAATGTACAAACTCAATAATTCTGATTATGCTTCTCATTTTCCAACCGTTTCCAAGTAACTCCAATAATTTCCAATTAGTCTCGCGGGTACTCGCGGCCACGATTTAAATGAATAATACGTGGAAAGGTATTTCGAGATTGTAATTTTCGCACCGCGAGTGTATCAATCCGCCTCGTTCAAGGCGTCAACTGTTGCAACGATCCTGTTTCTCATTACAGCGAAACGATAAGGGCTTGTTCTGAATGCCACTTTTAACCCTTTCACTGTCATCGATATCTATCAATCATAGTCAAACAGATTATTCTTTGTCATAATGCGGATCGTTTAATATTCTGGTTAGTCGTTATATATTTTTCTTTTTTTTTATCATAAATTTATTTCTTCTAGGCGAATTCTTTTTTTTTTTGGGAGGGGAATAAAATTACGTTCAATTTTTAAATCGAATAACATCGCTGCCAATCGAGATTTTTTATCTTAGATTTTAAAATCCATGATCCCGACGAAGATGATTAAATGATTTTTCTTTTACATCTACGTATTTATGATTTTGTTTTCTTTTTCTAATAAAATTGCGGTTAATCGACTCTCTTCTTCTAGATCTTTAGTAGATTAATCTTTGGTTTTTAGACGATTAAAATTCGCGATTAATCGAAATATTTGTTAACCAAACATCTTTCTGCCAAATGAATAATAATAAAATCTTTTAAGTTCTTCGAACATTTTTTTTTTCTTAATTTTTCTTTTAATCGATACATTCCCGCTGAACAAACGAAACGACGAAGAAAGGAAAAGGATAAACCGATAAATCTGATAATAGTTTGACATTCTCCGAGTTGAGACGCGTTGAACGGACGAAGTTAGTGCGGTTTCGTGTTTCACGGGAACGCAATTCTTCCCCGTGATATATCGTCATCTCTCTTTTTTTTTCCTCTCCCTCATGTGACTCATTATTACGCTCGGGATTACCGCTGATTGATGTATTTACGAAATACGCGAGACACTGATTGCTTCCAAGGAAAGTGTACAAAAGTTTCCTTTTTCTTTTTTCTTTTCCTTTTTCTTTTTTCTTTTTTTTTCCCCATTTTTTTCTTCTTCTTCTTCTTCTTCTCGCGCGAGAGACCTTGATTAACTAGGCGTGCAACTCCTAGACGTGTCTTGTCCAAGCGTTTTTCGATGAAAATACGGCTCGAATACGTGCGCTCGCTCGTTGTTTGAACGCCGGTGTTGCGATACGAGGCCCCACACGGCATACCACGAAATGTTAATTGTCGCTTGAGATCGCGGAAACGCGTTTAAGGTCGTCTTACGTGTACATGGCACATATGTAGATAGCGGCAGAAACGGGAGGGAAATCGTTCGATGAATCGTAACGCTTATATTATTGATTTTTTCTTTTTTGTGCGAAAAATTGGAATGTGAAAGAAAGAAAAGCGGTCGATAATAGCTTGGATTAAAGATTCGAAGATATATTTTTTAATGTTGCGTTTTTAATGCGATTTAAACGAATATACGAAGATTGACAAATTTTTGGGGAATTTTCAGTGAACGTTATTTCTTAACTTTTTAGTAACTCTCGAAAGTACGAGTGAAATGTAATAAGGAAATTGATTAATTGTTATTTCTCATTTGCTTTGATTGGAATTTTGTGCTCTTATAATATGATCGGAAATAATGAAAATAATTAATGAGATTTTTGCTTCGACTGGAGCATCTCTTTTATATTTGGAGTTCTGATAAGTTCAGAAGAGTTGCTATTTATAGTGTTGTAATCAGAAAAATAAAATTCTTTTCCAATTCTAATCGATCTTAATTCTATAACTATATGTCGT